GTGGGATCAGGCAGTGTTTCGTTCTGCTGTGCATGGGGTCGCTATGAGTCGGAAACGACTCGACGGCACTTAACAACAACAACAACAAATTTGGGAGGGATATAATCAAGGTTATATTTTGGCTCTTGTGGACTTATTTTAATTGTCTTCAATGTCAACTTGAACTTGCATATGAGCAGTTGATGGTCTGTGCCACAATCAGCTCCTGGTCTTGTTTTGGCTGAAGATATTGAGCTTCTCCATTGTCTCCTTGCACAGATGTAATTGACCTGATTCCTATGTGCTCCATCTGGTGAAGTCCATGTATATAGCCACTGTTTATGCTGCTGAAAAAAGGTATTTGCAATGAATAAGTCATTGGTCTTACACAATTCTATCATGTGATCTCCAGTGTCATATCTATCACAAAGGCCATATTTTCCAACTACCAGTGAGTCTTCTTTGTTTCCAACTTTTGCATTCCAGTCACCAGTGATAGTCAACACATCTTGATTGCATATTTGGTCAATTTCAGACTTCAGAATTTGGTAAAAATCTTCAATTTCCTCAACTTTGGCTTTGGTGGTTGGTGTATAAAATTGAATAATAATAGTATTAAATGGTTTTCCTTGTTGGTGTTTGGATATTGTCCTATCATTGACAGCATTGTGCTTCAGGATAGATCTTGAAACATTCTTTGTGTCAATGAATGCCATGCCATGCCATTCCTCTTCAATTTGTCATTCCTAGTGTTTTGGTTACCTAATGCCATTCTCACAGAGATATACCACAAATGGGATGGCTTGAACAAACATGAGTTTATTCTCTTATAATTCTGGAGGTGTTAAATCTGAGTTCGAAGTGCCACGCTTTAAGGGCTGGGTGAAAGCCTCTCAACCTTGGGTGTCAGCTCTGCCTCCAGCTCCCAGTCTACTGAAATTGGAGGTGTTTCTTCATTCAGACAGCTGCTGGCTGCTGAGGTTGACAAGGCCGAGGCTGACAAGGCCAAGATTGACAAGTAAAAAGGCACAGTCCCAATGTCACCAACAATATGACAGGCCACTAATTCAAGTCCAGATGAAGTCCCAAGATTGACAGGGCATGGCAGGCTGCTGAACAATGACTTGGCTACATGCAAGGTTCAATTGTGTCAAAAGGCTAGAGACCAATCCTAAAGCTGCTTCTTATATAAGGGAAGCACAGACCATAGCCATAAAGCAGCTACTCAGCTGCTTGTAATAGATTCCACCATGGAATTGGTTGCCAGTCTCATCATGCGGGATAACTACCAACAGCTGCCCAGCCACTCAACCAGGCCCAGCCATGTAGACACACAACCTTAACTACCACAACTAGTATAGAAAATCATATGGTTGTCTGACTCAAAACGGCCAAAATCATCCCATTTTAGCTCACTAATGCCTAGTATATCGATCTTTATGCAGTTCATTTTTGACAACTTCCAATTTTCCTAGATTCATACTTCATACATTCCATGTTCCGATTATTAATGGATGTTTTCAGCTGTTTCTCCTCATCTCAAGACATGCCACATCAGCAGATGGAGGTCTCTAAAGCTTTACTCCATCCACATCCTTAAGGTCAGCTCTACATAAAGGCAGCTCTGCCCCAGTCATATTTTGAGTGCCTTCTGAACTGAGGGGCTCATCTTCTGGCACTATATTGGACAATGTTTCAGGGCTATTCATAAAGTTGCCCAGTGATATATCAGACTGTTTTACTACTATTCATAAGGTTTTCCCTGGCAAGTTCTTTGAGAAGTGGATGGCCTCTTCCTTCCTCCAAGTCTGTCTTAGTTTGGAAGTTCTGCTGATACCTGTTCACCGTGGGTGATCCTACTGGTATTTGAAATAGCGGTGGCATAGTCTTCAGCTTCTCAGCAAACACTCAGGCCACCACAGTATGACAAACTGACAGACGAGTTTTGGACAATCTGTTGTTGTTGTTGTTACGTGCCGTCGAGTGGGCCCCAACTCATAGCGACCCTTCCTTGGGTTTCCGAGGCAGTATCAGTACGGAAGTAGGATTGCCCAACCTTCCTTCCGAGGGTGGCTGGTGGGTTTGAACCGCCAGCCTTCTGGTTAGCAGTCAAGTGCTTTAGCCACTATGCTACCAGAGCTCGCTATGAGTCAGGTCCACTATGAGTCGGGTCCGACTCGATAGCACATAACAACAACAACAGGAAAGTAATTGCCTTTTATAAATTAATCTTGTATCCTGCAACCTTACTATAATTGCTTATTAGTTCCAGAAGGTTTTTTTTTTTTTCCCGTTGTTGTCATTGATTCTTTGGGATTTTCTGCATAGACTATCAATGTCATCTGTGGACAAAGACAGTTTTAATTCTTTTTTATTCCCATCATTTGCCTGCCAAGCCCAAGGCTGGTGGTTCAAACTCACCAGCCACTCTCCTCCAGGTAGACCGGGCTGTCTCTTGGGAGCTCTGGTGGTGTAGTGCCTAAGGCATCTGACTGCTAACCAGAAGGCTGGTGGTTCAAACCCACCAGCCACTCCCTGGAAGGAAGGTTGGACAATCTACTGCTGTAGTGATATCGCCTCGGAAACCCAAGGAGGGGTCTCTATGAGTCAGACCTGACTCCATGGCAGCAGGTTTTCTTTCATTTTCTTTTCTTATTGTATTAGCTAGGACTTCCAATACAATGATGAATAGGAGTGGTGAGAGGGTACTTCTCATTTTAGTTTCTGATCTTAGGGAGAAAGCATCTGGTTTCTCAACATTAAGTCTGATGTTCCACTGCCATCAAGTCAATTTCTACTAATAGTGACACTACAGGACAGCCTAGAACAGCCTCATAGGATTTCTGAGGCTGTAAATCTTTATGGAGGCAGACTGCCACATCTTTCTTCCATGGAGTGGCTGGTGGGTTAGAAATGCCAACCTTTTGGTTCACAGCCAATTGCTTTAACCACTTCACCACCAGAGCTCCCTAAGTATGGTGTTAGCTGTAGGGTTTTTTGTAGGTATTTTTTTATTAGGTTGAGAAAATCTTCCTCAGTTCCTAGTTTTCATCATTAAGTGGGTATCAGATTTTGTCAAATGTTATTTGTGCATGTATTGATATGATCATATGATTTATTTCTTTAGCCTGTTGATGAGATGGATTACATTAGTTGATTTTTAAACATTGAACCTTGCATATCTGGAATAAGTCTTAGTTATGATGAATAATTCACTACTCTGTAACACAGAGTAGTGTTACTCATGGGAGACCCATGAGACCCATGACTCAATGGCAATGTCCGTGTTTTAAAATTCAATTTGCTAATATTTTGTTGAGGATGTTTCCTTCTATGTTCATGATATATTGATCTGTAATTTTCCTTTCTTGTAATGTCTTTGTCTGGTTTTGGTGTTAGAGTAATGCTGGTCTAGAATGAATTAGAAAGCATCCTTTCTACTTCTATTGTATGGAAGGGATTACAGAGAATGCTATTATTTCTTTTCTAAATGTTTGGTAGAATTCATCAGTGAATCCATCTGAACCTGGTGCTTTTGAACTGCCAACCTTTCAGTTAGCAGTAAATGACTTAGACACTATGCTACCAGAGCTCCTTTTCCTGGCAGGTTATTAATTATTGATTCACTTTTCTTAATAAATATGGGCCTATTTAGAGTATCTGTTTTTCTTTGTGTGAGTTTTGGTAGATTGTATCTTTTAGAAAATCGGTCAATTTCATGTAGGTTATCAAATACATGGGCATAGAGTTATTTATAATATTCTTTTATTGTCCTTTTAATATCCATGGGTTGAATAGTGATAGACCCTCTTTCATTTATGATATTACTACTTTGTGTTTTCTCTCTTTTTTTAATTGGTTAGCCTAGCTACAGGTTTATCAATTTCACCAATCTTTTCAAAGAAACAGCTTTTGGTTTTCTTGATTTTCTCTATTAACTTCCTATTCTCAATGTCAATGATTTCTGCTCTAATTTTTATTATTTTTTTCTTCTGATTACTTTGGATTTTATTTGCTCATCTTTTTCTAGTTTTCTCAGATGCAAGTTTAGACTGTTGATTTTGTATCTTTCTTATTTTCTAATACATGTATTTAATTCTATAAATTTCCCTGTAAACTCTGCTTTTGCTTCATCCCACAGTTTTTCATAAGTTGTATTTTCATTTTCATTTAGTTAAAAATATGTAAAAGTTCTCTTGTGTCTTCTTTTACCCACATATTATTTAAATACATGTTGCTTCATCTTCAAATATTTTGTGATTTTTTAGCTATTTTCTGGTAGCAATTTCTAGTTTAATCCCATTGTGATTAAGTATACACTTTGTATGATTTATATTCTTTTAAATCTGTTAAGGTATATTTATACATTTATTAAAACTATAGAACTACAGAACCTATAGAACTTTATAATACAAAAGATGAACTCTAATGTAAACTATGGACTTTAATGAATAATAATGTGTCTGTATTGGTTAATCAAGGTTAACACATGTATCACATTACTGCAAGCTGTTAATAATATGGGAAACTCTTTGTATGAGGAGAGAAGAAGGGGTACGTGGGAACTCAGAAGGGGTACGTGGGAACTCAGAAGGGGTATGTGGGAGCTCTGTACTTTCTTTCTAAAGCTGTCCTGAAAAATAGTCTATTAATTAAAAGGAAAAAAAAAAAAACCCAAAAAAACCAAAAACCCTAAAACTAGACTTTTACACACAAATTCATTTCTAACATTTTGAGACAAAATGAAGTAATTATAATCATTTTGGCCTACTATCCTTCCTAGACATCTCTAATATGGATAAATCAGTTTCAACAGTTTGTATATAATTTATTTAGGTCATTGTTCCTCTATTGTAATAACTGTGCTATTAGGAATTTATGAAAATAACTGAACACCTTCCTCTCAGTAAACATTTCATTCATGAACAGAGCTTGATTTACATATAACTCTGAATTGTAATACTTTAAATGAGTTAGTGTTCAGGACCTTAATTTACTTTCTTTAAGGAACATTACACAAACAGACTTGCAATTTCTCTCCAGAAAGAAAAAAAAGTTGTACCTGGTATTTCTACTTGAAGCAGTGAAAGAAATTTCAGTATAAAAATGGGTATCCAGCATAATGCATCAGTAAATACAATAAAGAAAAACCGCTTGGCAATCATCATCTCTTTTTTAACTTGATTCTGTATTTCAGTTGTTGTAATGGCACTTTGATGAATGCTGTAAAACATGCTTCCGTAGGAGAAAACTATGATGATAAATGCTATCAAATTAATACCTAGTTAGAACACAAGAAATATTATTAATATATATAAACATTCTTTCAAAAAATACTGTTAGTGTTATTAAAAGAAGAAAAATAAGATAGACTATAACATCTGTTTGTTTTTCTTCATAAAGAATTATTAATGTTCATAGTAATCATAAAATTTCTTTGAGTTGAAGTATTGTTGCTAAGAATGATGAAATGCTTAATTTTAAAATGGCATGTTAAAATGAAATTATAGTGATTCAATGAATATTCTCAGAATATTAAACTTTCTAGTACTGCTTTCATATCAATTTGTGCTGTACTTTGAAAATGTTTTCACACTGCTGGCTCATAACACTGTATATTTACTTTCTTTGCAAACACTTGTTTGGCTACTTTGAATTTGGAAAGATAACAAATGCTGTTAAGTTCCAATAATAATGGCAAAGAATCAAAAAAATATTTTGCCTAGTATTATTAGTGTGATTCATGAAATACAAGTATCTAGTGTCTTATCTTTTATTAAGCTGAATCAGTATGAAATTTACATGATAAAGGGGTAATCTGGAAAAAAAATCCTTTAGGGGATTCTGATAGAATCCACCCCCACCCTCATTGAAAAAAAAAATGCTTAGAAGATCTGAAGTAAAATTTTATAACCATTTGAAAGTATAATGAGTTTCACATTCTAATGTATTGTACCATTTGGATGAAAAGAATTTTAATGTAGGATTTCTTACCAAGAAAAATTGCCACTGAATAAATCCGGGCTCCAATACTTTCTGTATCTTCTGAATGAAGAGGAAAACATACTCCATTGGTGCCATAGTAGTTTTTGAAAAATTCCTTATTGCTCAATGGCACAAAAGCCACTATAAACCCGATAGTCCAAATGAGAATAAGAACTGTAATTGTTCTGCATTTTCCAGGTCTTAAACATCTAAAAGGATATACAATGCAGATGTATTTTTCCAATGTCAGAAACGTTAAAAGTAAAACGGATACTTCTGTGGACAGAATGGCCAAAGATCCCACAAGCTGGCAATGAATACTCTCCATCCACAGCTGTGCGTGCTTATTGTATTCTCCACGAAACTTTAGGTCAAAGGCTCCAATCACAAATAAGTAGATTCCCATTAAGCAGTCGGCACCTATAGGGATCAATACGTTTCACAAATTTAGAGATGGAATAATTTACATAGAGCTGGCCTACGTAAAATTGCTCTCTACGATTCCATAAGGAGCTCTGGTGGTGTGGTGCGTAAGACATTTGGCTGCTAACTGGAAGATTGGTTGTTCAAACCCATCAGCTGCTCCACAGAAGGAAGATGAGGCAATCGACTTCCATAAAGATTTACAGCCTTGAAAACCCAATGGGGGGCACTATGAGTTGGAATTAACTCAATGGCAGTGGGTTTCTTTCTTTTTTTTTTTTAATGATTCCATAGCTTCTTACTTTTACTTCTTTCTCTGCACATTCTTTAAGTTCCATCCTAAAGAATCAGCTCTCAAAGTGATATACTACATAGTGTACTCGCTTTTTAAGTAAATGTTATCCACCAGAAAGTGAGAGAGTTTTTTTTTTTTTTTTTTAACTGCACAAACACCTTACCCAAAGTCCCTAAAAGTGCATCACTATATGAATTATAAGGCTGCTCCTTATTGCTAAACACTAAAGTTATATTCTGGGGGAGCTCTGGTAGCATAGTGGCTAAGGCACTTGACTGCTAACCAGAAGGCTGACAGTTCAAACCCACCAGCCACTACTCGGAAGGAAGACTGGGCAATCTACTTCTGTAGTGATACTGCCTCAGAAACCCAAGGAGGGGTCGCTATGAGTCGGGTCCTACTCGAAGGCACATAACAACAACAACAAAGTTATATTCTAGCCTTCATCAGGGAAATTGAGCTTATCAAAATTTGGTAGATAACAATACAGAATAGTAATAATTTCTGAGTTCTCTTTCCTACGTAGCTTGCAGTGAAAAAGCAAATAGAGAGTAGACTTTGAATAAGGATGAGGGAGGAGCATGGGACAACACACATTAAAAAAGTATACCATGGAAGACACAGAGAGGTGCACAAGAGGTAGAGAACAAAGATAAACACACACACAATACTGCATTACAAATAATAACAACCATTAATATATGTCTACATGGGTAGACAGGCTAAATGTTCAGGTATGTCTGGGTTAAACAGAGTATATCCATGACCATATATAAGTCTGGCAGATGATATTTCTACATATGTATTTGCATGTACTATAAGAATGTCCATATATATAATAGAGCTAACGGGGCAAAGTTATGATAACTTCTTAGTCACAGCCAAATACCCTGAGGGAATGTGAGTCACTTGGCCCATGGTCTTGGGACCATGGTCTTGGGGGACATCCATCTAAGCATCCATCTAAGATACAACAGTTGCTCTCTCATCTGGAGCAAAGAAGAATGAAGAAAATCAATGGCACATGGAAACAATTAGTCCAAGGGACTAGTGGATCATGTGAATCTCAGCCTACATGACCCTGAGACCAGAAGAAATAGATGGTACTCGCCTACCACTGTCAACTACTCAGAGAAAGATCAGTGCAGGAGATCCTGGATAGAGTGGGAGAAAAATGTAGAACAAAACTCAAAAATCATAAAAAAGACCAGGTTTACTGGTCTGATGGAAACTGTTGAAATGTCCATGACCATGGCCCCTAGTCACCTTTTGGGCCTGGGATTGAACTCACTCCTGCATCTTCCAGCCAAAAAATAGACAGGCATATAAGGTTAATATTTACACCAGTTAGGATTTACACAATCCTTAGAAAAATCAACCATGGGGGATCAGAAGGGCAGTATTTGCACAGGGCGATAGCTCAGAGGGCAGGAATGCATACGGAAGAAGGACGCAGGGAAAAAGTAATCACAGGGAGGAAATGGGATGGGAGCTGTTACATTATGGGAATTGAAATCATTGTCATGAAACAAAATGTGTACAAATTGTTGTACAGAAAATGAATTTGTTCTGTAAACTTTCAACCAAAGAATAATAATAATAACAAAAGTATAACATCAGTAGATTAGTACTTTATACTCTCCAGAGAGTATGGATAAATTTTTGGTCCCTTGACCCAGACTATAAGCTCTCTGTAGACTGATTTCTTGCTTACTTTTCCATGTAGTACTCATTTGCCACAACACTTTGCAATTTTAAAAACTTAAAAGAATTAATGTTATCTGAAAACATTTTTTTCCTATTTAAAGATTTCAAATTACGAATGCAGAAGATTCTAGTAGCTTAGAGATCAGAAAATCAAGTTGCTATTATCTCAATACCTATGATCAAGCCATGCCACCAAAAAAGTAAATGCAGTTCTTAATATTAAAATTTGACCATGTTGTTGTTGTTGTTATGTGCTGTCGAGTCGGACCCGACTCATAGCGACCCCCTCCTTGGGTTGCCGAGGCAATATCATTACGGAAGTAGATTGCCCAACTTTCCTTCCAAGGAGTGGCTGGTGGGTTTGAACCTCCAGCCTTCTGGTTAGCAGTCAAGTAAGTGCCTTAGGCACTATGCTACCAGAGCTCCCATAGAAGGTTGCAATTTTATTTTGAATAAAATATTGTAGGTGCTTTAATAAAATATTATGCCTTCAGGACCACTGCATGAGAGAGAAACCAGTGAATGAGAGCTACATTTGGTCTGTGTTACATAACTGAATTTACTTGTTTTAAGAACTTACAGTTTTCTTACCTAAAGTAATTCTATTTTCATTTTGGAAAATGTGGAAATGACATAAAGGAGAGAAGTTTTAAGTCTCATAATTCTACCAATCAGTTTACTTATTTTCTAATAGTACATGGTGTAGTATATTTCGTAACTACAATTTTTTCTTAAACCAGGAAATACTCACAGCAGAGAGAAATGATTGACATGGCATGTAGCTTATTCTCAGACCTGATATAAGGTCGCATACAAATAACAAAGATGTTTCCAAAGCATGTAACTGCAGACACAACCCAGACAAATATTCTCTGAATAATGCTTGCCAAGAGATTCTCTACAGATGAAATTCCATCAGTGTTGGGTTTACAGCTGCGAACATGAGGTGCATATCCACAGTACTGGAATTTCTTAAAATATCTGGTATATAAAGAGAAGACAAAATAAGATATTTACTTATTTTCTACATATCTTTAGAGAGAAACTGTCTTAATTTGAGACTTTGAGGATTGTAAAACATCAGCAATACTAAAGCTTTAAATTTAAGTTTACTTCTTATCTACTTGATTTTACTGCAAGAGAAAGTGTGATTGAAAGTATGATTGGCATAATGAATATACAAGTGTTAGACATATCTTAGAATATAAATAAGCTGTTAGGATGTGGTCAAGAGAATTAATCTAGCTAAGCAAAGTTATGTTCGGTATTTAGTGTTTACTACATAATAATGCACAGTTACATAGCTCCTATTATTACTGCAACTGATTTTGCTTTTTACCCCTCTGGAGAAGATAGAGTTAAGTGCTTTCTCCTTTTGAGTTTCCTTAGCTTCTCTATTATAGAAGTGATTATGTTATCTGTCCACCACTCATCTGTCAAGTTGCTGTACAGTAGTGGCTTGCTTGTTGCTATGATGTTGGAAGCTATGTCACCTGTATTTCAAATACCAGCAGGATCACCCATGGTGGACAGGTTTCAATGGAATTTCCAGACAAAGATAGACTAGGAAGAAAGGCTTTGTGAACTGCTTCTGAAAATTAGCCAATGGAAACCCCATAGATCACAATAGAATATTGCCTGATACAGTGCTGAAAGATGAGCCATCTATGTTGGGAGGCACTAAAAATACACAGTAGCCACCACAATAGACTTGAATATACCAACTACAGTGAAGATGGTGCAGGACTGGTCAATGTTTTGGTCTATTGTCCATGGGGTTGCCATGAGTCAGAGTAAACTTGATGTAACTAACAACATGTTATCTGTTGTTCCTTGCTAACATGCCTATTTCTTACACTATAGTTTGCACTCATTAAATATTTGTTGAATGAATTCTTTCATAAATAGAGAGACCTCCCTTGTTGATAAAGACATCATTCTGATAATCAGTAATTACTACCAACATTAACACCATTTATTGAGTATCTTTGAGGTATTTATTTATCAGGAATAAATTCCCACAACTCCATGAGGTAGGTGTTAGTATCACCAAATGAGGATATGAGATTTTAATGGAATCAAATTATTTGGTAGAAAATTTTCTATTAAATGTAGAAATTGGAATTAAAATTAGATCTATTTGTCTCTAGAACTATGTGCTCTGGTAAAGATGATAAAAGGTCTTCATAGTACAAAGAACTATAGTAACAAAAAGATAAAAGCTTAATGATTATAGCATGCGGTCCTTTTAAATTCAAGTTCAATTGCTGATTTTTCCATCCCGTTCTATCCAAATCTGTCTACCATTTTCTCTATGACTTAACTGAGTGAGATGAGAGCAGACCATGAGAAAGGAAAGGGCAGTGACTGTCATTTTAGTTTGTTTCATTTGTGTTAGGCTAAATAAAAATCTACTTTCATCAACAGATTTTTAATGAGTGTTTATTTGTTAAGGAGCTCTGGTGGTGTTGTGGTTAAGACATGTGGCTGCTAACCAAAACGTCAGTGGTTTGAAACCCCCAGCCACTCTAAGGAAGAAAGATGGGGCATTCTGCTTCCATAAAAATTTACAGCCTTGAAAACTCTATAGGGTTTGCCTGAGTTGGAATTGAGTCAATGGCAGTGTTTTATTTATTTACTTGTTTGTTTGACTGCCTAGCATCCAGCCACTCTTTTGATAATAGTGTTCTCATTTCCTGTGAGGCAATTATTTGTCTACCTTGTGAGAAATTGTAGTGATACCTTCAGTGGAGCCATTCCCCTAACCAAGAATGACCTAAACAAGATCAATTAGACTTTCTCTCCTGGATCTCAGTCTCTTATTGAATGACACTTGAATGGATTGCAGCAGTACTTGGATCTTTAAATCCTTGGTTCCTAGATATGTGTTTTCTGTCCAATTCCACTTTGTTTCTTTAGTTATTTTTTTAGATTCTGTGAGCTACTCATTTTCTTCCAATATTCCATTTTGTTTAATTTAGTATTTTATATGGTGTGCAACCACAGAATCTTTTATAAGCATTCTGTCTGAGGAATTAAGGAAAATAAAAAATATGAACAATATTTGTAGAGTTGATGGCTGATGTGACACTTTCTAAAATTATTGAGAATGAATTACCATGGCATTGTGCTCATTGTTGTACCTGCTATATGATTGCATTCCATTAAAGAAAATATTTCTAAATCAATGGTACAACCAGACACATCCTTTAGATAAGAGAATTTCCAAAGTTTAACAATTTATGCGTGTACACTTGATCAGATTTCTGACAGACATTGGGAGAAATTTTTTCTGAAAATGTCTGTAAATTTTCTTATTGACATCAATTATTTACTTATAAATATTTTACATTGTTTCTATAAATTTCTACTCCTTGGTCCAGCAGCACTTATACCACGTGTACAAATTATTAGCTCTCTAAGTGAACAGTGAATCTAGTAGAGTTGAGAATAACTTCTTGCAGAACTGAATGGGTTCCTTTCATATCCATGTTCCTGGACATTAAAAAAAAACCCGTGTAAGATTCCATCAAACTGTAGAAAACTAAAAAGCAACCTGTTGCAATATCAAAGTTAAAAAGTTAATAATTTTAAGAGTTAATTTTTATTTAGGCAAGTTAGTCAGAATATGTTAATAGATTAGATGCACTAATTAATTATTAATTAATTATAATTAACAATAGATTTTATAGCAATGCATGTAGATACATAAATCAGATTAAAATCAAGGTGAAGAACTAGAAAAATGTCTACTTACATGTGGGAGAGATTCTTAAGAGGTCTAAACATCCTTTGTTGGATATTTGAAATTTCAATTCCTTCTAAGTTGCTAAAAATGTCAAATAAATAATCAAAGAAAATGACATGTATGTTATTTATAGGACAATAAAAATGCTAAAATAAAAACAATTAAAAAACTGTTTTTAATTAACACTTTTCTGAATAAAACATTCACATACACATCACCCTAGGCACTTTTTCAATTCCTCCTCTTTTTGATTCTGTTATTTATAAACATATGCTCCTCTATTTAATTTGTGAAGAATCTTCACAGATCATGGCACAATGCTTTGTACTTTGCTGTTTGTTGCTGACAAGGTGTCTTATGAAAAATTGCATGGTCTTGTGACATCAACATGATCTGTGATATATCTGAGCCCATTGTTGTGGCTAGTTTGTCAATCTATGTCATTGAAGATTTCCCACATTTTCACATACCTTCTGCTTTACCAAAGATAATGCTCTTCTCTAGTGATTGGTCTTTTCTGATGAGGTGTCCAAAATAAGTAGAAGAAGTCTTGCCATTCTCGATTCTAAGGAACATTCTGATTGCATTTCATGTAAGATTGACTTGTTCATTCTTTTGGCAGTCTGTGGTATATTCAGTATGCTTTGCCAAAATCACAATTCAAATGCATCAAATCTTCTTCTGTCTTCTTTTTTTTTTTTTTCATTGTCCAGCTTTTGCATGCATATGACACAAATGAAAAGATTATGGCTTGTGTCAGGCACACCTTATTCATCAAAACTAACTCCCCACTGCCGTCTAGTCGGATCTGACTCGTAGCAACCCATCCTTGGGTTTCCGAGGCTAGGAAATCGCTAGGGAAGTAGATCGCCCAACCTCAAAGTGATCATTTTTGCCTTTTCAAACTTTGAAGAGGTCTTTTGTAGCAGATTTGTTCAATGCAAAACACTGTTTGATTTCTTGACTGCTACTTCCATGGACATTGATCCAAGTAGAATAAAATCATTGAAAATTTCAAATTTTTTTCATTTATTATAATGTTGTTCATCAGCCCACTTATGAAGATTTTAATTTTCTTCACATTTAACTCCTGCAATCCATACTGAAAACTGGTCTTTTCCCTCTATTAATAAGTGCTTCAAATTGTCTTCATTCTAAGCAAGCAAAGTGTGTCATTTGCATGTCTAAAGTTATTAATGAATTTTCCTACAATCCTAATGCCATAACATAGTAACAACTCAATACGTATTTGAGGAATAGATGAACAAGCACTATTTTGCATGATATTACAATAGTAGAGGAGTTTTATATCCTTGAAAATTTTCAATTATAATAAATTTTTTTCTGATAAAAACTATTATTTTTTTATTGAGAGAACACTTAAATTGAATGAATAGTTGCTTATCTTTTTAATGCAATTCCTATATCTAATAAAATTTTTTATGATTTATATAATCAACACAATTTCATTTTAGGTTAAGTATGACTGTAATCAATTCTTAGATAAACCAAAAAAACCAAACCCATTGTTACTGAGTGGATTGCAACTCATAGAGACCTCCATTGGGTTTCCTAGGCTTTAAATCTTTACAGAAGTAGGTTGCTCCATCTTCCTTCTGCAGAGTGGCTTGTGGGTTTGAACCACCAGCTTTCTGTTAGCAGTCAAATTCCTTAGGCACTACACCACCAGAGCTCCTTAATTCTTAGGTGCCCTATGCTAACTGAGGAATGATTATGCAAGATACTTCAGAGGTTCAAAGCAAACAAACCAGAGAAAGGTCCTGGTGAGGTATGCCAAATTATAAAATGATTACTTAGTTTATAAAATAAAATTATTACTTAGTTTATAAATACATTTAAAAAACAAAACAAAACTGTCTGCTTATTTTTCATCTAATCCAGCAAGCAGTAGGGAAAGATTCTGATTTGAAAAAAATGAACTATTAGTATTAAAAACAAAAGCAAAAACCCATTGCTATCCACTTGATTAAGTCTCATAGCTACACTATAGCACAGAGTAGAAATGCCCCATAGGATTTCCAAGGCAGTTCCTTGGAAATTTATGGAAGCAGACTGTCACTCTTTTTGGTGCAAAGCAGGTGATTTGGTTAGCAGCTGTGTCTTAACCACTGAGCCACCAGGGCTCCTTATTAGTATTCAGAAAGCTATTAATTATATAATTACCGCCTTAAGTGTATACTTACAGAGACTTGAGTTTGACAAGATCATCAAATTGATTTACTTCTATTTTCTGGATTGGGTTATAGGAAAGATTCCTGTTTAAAAAAATAGTCAGCAATAAATCATTGCTATAAATTGCCTTAGTGAAGACAAAGTCTATCTATTGACTTTGGGTTATTTAAAAAAAAAAAATTACCAAAAATATATAGTAACAGGACTTGTCTCATGGGGTTAACTGAACATTTAAATAAGTTAATAGAGATAAAATACAACAGTACTGGCTTAGTAAGTGCTGGCTGTATGATTGTGTTTGTGATAGAGAGCTAGGACAACATGAGCATGAAGGCAGAGCTGTCAAGACGGCTTTCTCCAGAGAAATGGTAGGATACCCAGAGAAAAGTCACATCTACTTCACATTTGTGATTTCAGAAAAAATTAGAAGAATCTTAGCCAAAATCTGATTAACAGAACCATACCTAATATATATATTTTTAATAATAAATGTTAAATTAAAGACTGCCATTTTGCACTAGTGATTTGTGAGGCATGGAATAAAAAGTAAAAAGCTACAGGTAGGGGCAATAAGTCATAGATCAGAGTGACAGTACAGCTGAATTTAGAAGGAGAAAATTTCTGAATCTTTGAAAAGATCATTGATTAAAGGGGACTTCTCAGGATAAGTTTTCTTTTCAAGAAATTTATTGTAGTTTAGGCTATTAGATGGGGGATGAAAAGAGCTGCAGGTGGGGATATAGTTACAGAAAGAAGAAAAGATAGGGAGAATGACAGTAAACAAAAAGAGTTATATAAAAGAAAAGAAATTAAGAAATCGATAATGTCTTACAGTTGTGAGAGCTCCTTCAGATTCTTAAGTATATGTGGTGGAAGATTTTCAATCTCGTTATTTCCTAAATCCCTAAGGAAATAATTGCAAGCATATTACTTTCTAAAGACTTTATTCATTGTTCTAAAATTCATTAGTAAGCCATTATACAATTTTCTAATAATGCTATTGGTGAGTTTTCTTCCTGCCTTCCTTCCTTTTATTTTGACTTTCCTGTAAATGTTTTATTTTCACACTGTTGCTGAATGTTGAGACTAGTTTTATGTTATTTACATATTTTATGGGAGAATTATCTAAGAAGATAGATTGTTTTTATTCATCTACCAGAGAAATCTTTCTAAAAATTCATCCTTTTTCTTAAAATCATTCAATAGCTCATTATTGCCTAGAATATAAAATCAAAACTGCTTCATGTGGCATTAAAAAGCCGTTAAGTATCTGAATATCTTGCCACTGTCTATCTTTCCAGTCCCAATTTCTACCACTTTTTACTCAGTCACAATGAATTTTCCCTGAATGTACTTGGTATTATAATCTCCATGCTTTTACATAGGTCCTTCCCTCTGCCTGTAATAACCTTTGCTTCTTTCCCTTCTGTGAGCTCCTACTTATCCTTCAAGACTACTCAAATGTCACTCCTCTAGGAAATTTCTTAGGCACAGGGAGGTTATGTACTCTCTCTGTTCTCCTAAATATTTATTTTGCACTCTTCTATTACAACATACAGGAGTTCTGATGGTGTAGTGCCTAAGGCATTTGGCTGCTAACCAGAAGGCTGGCGGTTCAAAACCATCAGCCACTCCTTGAAAGGAAGGTTGGGCAATCTACTTCCATAGTGATACTGCCTTTGAAACCCAAGGAGGGGTCACTATGAGTCAGATCCGACTCCACGGCAGTGTGTTTCGTTTTTATTACAGCATATATAGCATATGGTGCATTTAATATTATATTGAATCTCTTTCTGTCCATATGTAACTAGCTTAGTATTGGACTAACCTTTCCATTTCCAATTAGAAGACTATTAATAGACTGAATGAATCTATCTATTCTGTATGTAGGTAAAAGTAGGGTAAAATTCGAATTCCTTGTATGCAAAACCAATAAAATATTAATCATGTTAGTAAGGCAATGGACAAAATAGATATAGAATAGTCCATCAGAATATTAAAACTCCAAATATCAAGTTCAGTAGTTTCTGATGAGAATGCCTGGATTTGGCTATCAGAGCAAATTCTAGGATACCTTTCTTATAGCATCAAGTATGTAATAGGATAGTGTCGGTGTAGGTCCTAGTTGACATCTGAAGAGGTCATTATCTCAGTTTTAGCTTGTTGTTGTTGTTATGTGCCATCAAGTCGGACCCGACTCATAGCGACCCCTCCTTGGGTTTCCGAGGCAGTATCACTACGGAAGTAGATTGCCCCATCTTCCTTCTGAGGAGTGGCTGGTGGGT